AGAGACAAGCCTTGGAAAACCATTGTAGACATGAAGGGTATTCAGTCTGCCACTTCTTTCTGGGACCAAGCTAACTGCAGGTTTCCCTGTCATTACTTTTTTTTTCTTTTTTTGTGAATATCTATACAAAGGGTGAGGCTTTGAGAAAGTGGGATGAATGTTTTACCTTATAGGATACACTCTTACCCTGTAAACATGCTAGAAATCTTTGTGAATTTCTCCAACACAAATAATTTTTCAACAGTATAAGATTAGCAAAATTGTCTGCATCACTTTGGATTTTATATCCTGGCATGGAAATACACAATAAACATATGAGGGTAAACTGAAGAAAGGAAATGGTATGGCCAAATTGCTTTGCAGTCTAGCTATTATTGGAAACAGTCATGTGGTGGTATAAGCTCCACAGGGTGATTGGGTGCTTCAGTGCAAAGATTTCAGATAGGGTAAATGGCAATAATATCACATCTGTGCTCCCACTGCCTTTGTTGTCAGTTAGGTAACTGCAAAGATCATTCAGTAGTGAATCCAGCGTTCTGTGGAATGCCAGTTTTTTACCCAACACTAGAACACAGTAAAACTATGCATGTAAAATAATCTTTTCCAAGTGATTAAAATGATACAAAAATCTGACCATAAGTATGCAGTATGTCTGTGGGAAACAAGGGTCCTATGTTGTGACCAGATACCCAAGAGATGCTTATTACTCTTAATTCAGCAGTATGCAGCATGCAAAACCACATGCTGAAGTGGGCATGCAAAAAGACAGACATGCAAGAATCTGCTTTAGGTAGCTACAAAAGAAAAGGCTTTTGATTGGAACAACTCCTTGATCTGCCAGAGTAGTTCAAGAAATGTAAATGTAAAACAAGCTGGCAAACATTGAAGTGAAAGCAGGGGAGGAGTGGTAAAACAGGAATATGGCACAGGGGAAATAAAATAGAGCAGATGCAGTAAACTTAGAAAACTTGTGCTACATGCGAACCAACATGAGTCCCTCAAATCCATCCACATGGGCGAGGATTTCAAACTCTCTCAGGGCAATAAAACAGTTAACAAAAATAAAGTTACAGGTTTGTACTAAGATAGAACCTTTTCTCCTACCAATAAAATGTAAAAATTCAAATAAGAACACTAGAAATCTTGCTCAGAACAAAATTCAGGAATATCAATAATCCAATACATGGAAAAAGCTATATCCATGAAACTAAACAGAAGAAGGTCAGAGGCCTTCTGTATCAGAAAGGTTATCTCGGACCTCAGAAATATCAATGCCAGTAGAAGAATAGAGGTGCCGGTCAGAACCAGTGTGTCTCAGCATCTCTTAAAGAACAAGCTTTCCTCTTTAGGTTTTAAAGTCTTTGAAGTAGAAATTGGAAAATTAACCCTGGAAGAAATGCATATTCATTCTTCATTTACAGGCAGCCAAAAGGAGTACAAGGCAATTTGGACAGAGAGATTTGTTAATACTGAGACGATAATGCCTCTACTTGGCTCAGAAACTGCTGTCCAGGGATAAAAAAGATCAGAAAATCTGTCCTTTGGAGGAAAGGTGGCTCGACAGTCCCTCTGAGAAATTGTCACTTACCACATGCCTATTAGACAGAAAGTAAAAAACGTTCTCAAGCTCCATACTTCATCAGATAAAATGAGAAAGAAATTTTTTATACTGTATACAGTGGAGCTCATCTCTCTATATAATATTACATTTATTATATATTATACATATTTTATATATTTTTAGTATATATATTATAGGCTATCTATAAATGTCTCAGTGGAACCCAGTGTAGGTCACAACAGCGGTCATGATATTCATGAGATGGACTTCTGGTTTAGCAAAATCTGAGTTTATGGCTAAAACTGCACTGAAATCTATTGTATGGGGCTGAGAACCTCAGATACTTTTCTTTGATAAGAAGCAAAATAGAAGTCTCGAAAGTTAGTTGATGTTGATATAATTATTGCAACTTACAGGAGGATCTGCATGAAAATAGTCAGTATCACAGACAAATCCTGGCCAGAGAAACAAGAAAACCTAGTACTGCTTCTTGAAGTAGCTTAGTAAGAATTCTCCCCTCTATGGCTTCCTGTGGATTTGCTGTGTACTGTTTACGTATATAGCCTTCATTTTGTAAAGTTAAGACTGCAGTAACATGACAGAACTTGGAGTGAATGTACAACATTTTAGCCTCATTTTTTAAAATCAACACAAGAGCATTAGCTGGCCTCCAACAAATTGTTCAGGTGACTGTCAAAATGTATTAACTTATATATTTTGAAAAGTGTATCTAATTAATGAAACCCAAGGATCTGATCTTTACTTTTAATTATTTGATCACTGTAAAATGGCATCTTAAGTGGTCTACTTCACTTTAAATTCTTGCATAAAATTTATATAAACCTAAAATAATCTAATGTTGCCAGTAATGAATATGATTTTTTCAATAATACAAATATTCCAAAAATACTATCAAAGTATAAATAATGAATGGTGTTGTTATTACTAGCATTATAAATCCATATATTGTGCCTAAGGAATCTAATGAGTGGGACACTGCTCTTATAAACTCAAGAAGACAGATATTTCTATTTGGTGTAAACAATCCTACAAAAAGTCAATATACATATGTGCAGGAATTTTCTATGAGAAAAATGTGTTTTTTCTCCTTCACAAATGGCAATATTGGGATTGACAGAAACGATTTCTAGTTTCAAAGTATTGCAGTGTCAGGGTGACTGTAATTAAATTCCTTAGCTGAATTACACTCTGATGTCTTTGTTTGGACAATGTAATTTAGCATAAAATATACAAACCGATAAAATATAGCAGATTTTAAAGTTAATTGGATATTAGGGTTATTAAAGGGACTTAGTGTTCTGGTGTTTTGCCCACATTATTTAAGAAAATGAATTACAGCAATATTTCAATTCACAAAGACCATTGTGAAATGAGCACGTTGCCTGAGAAAGGGAGTAACAAAAAATAAATGAGCAGTGTTTGGTGGCACTCTGCTCAATGATTTCTGTAAAGAGCACAGAGCTGGGCATACCTGGACTTTGACTTACTTCTCAGTGACACGGTCTGGATGTTTCAGCACTGCCTTTCACAGCTTGTGGGTTGACCAGATCTTGTTTTGAAGGCAATGCTTTATTTTACCTCCCACAAAAATGTGTCAGGATCCATCACAACAACCGTTCACAGCATTTAACTTCAGATGTTCCTAAGTCATTACCTAGCAGGTCAAAAAGCTGTTGCTTTACAAGTGGAGCCATGTGTGTATTTTTGGAGACCTTAAGTTAAGGGGCTATCCTCTTCCTTTTCACCTACAAATCAGATTATTTAAGCTGCTTTATGACTTATTTCCACTTTCTGGGACCTCGGCTTTTCACCCTAGCTTCACCTGTAAGGTCAGCTGACTTCCCAATGACTGTTGAACATCTTTTAGCTGTTTAACCTGTGATTTCTTAGAACAACTCTGTCACAGCACACTGAAATGACACAAGGCAAACATTGGGAGTCATGTCCTTTATCTTCTGAAATTCAAATCCCTACAAACTTCTGTCTCTATGACCCTGCTTCCCCTTCATGGTCTTCAGAGTTTTTTCATACCTGAAAAGGTCAAAACTGAAAAGCAATCTTCTCCAAAACTCCCTTCCCACAGCACGTCTGCTCTGCCTTAGGAGAATGTCAAACAGCCCAGGGAGCCATCTGGAAGAAAGGGCTGTGACGTGTCAAAGCTGCTTGCAAATGTCAGGAGAACTGTAAGATCTTGAAGATCTCCATACAAGGTTTGTGTTGTGATTTATTAACAGTACAGCTGTGTAAAACCAGAAGCTGGGTGAATCACGTCTGGTACAGGGGGTTATTTTTTAAGTCAAAGCATAACTGAAGGTCTCTGGAAGGTTTTGGTAGCCTTTCTCCTACTCTGAGCCTAGACCAGTCCCTCTGTTTATAACTGAAAGTCTTTAAAAGTCCTAGAGGTGATAAAATACTTTGCTCTCTTTTAATGAAATCCCTTATCTCTCCATGTCACTCTTTGAGAACAGGCCATACAAACACTGTCCTTCTAAAAAACCAAACTTGTTCATTTTCCTTCCATAAAAATCTGTGTCCCCTCTCTCCCCATTTTGAGAGTCTATGTTTCTCAGCTACATCCTTAGGACTTCCCAGTCCAGAATGGACCTGGGCATGTCAAGAGAGGACCTAAATCACAAGGCAGAGACAGAAAAACACATGCAATTCAGAGAAGTACTAGTGGACATCTTGAGCAAATAACTGACTAAATAAAGCTTGTAAGGCTTAGTGTGTCCTTAAGTAGTCTATCCTTGTCTCTTGTCATAAATACCATTGCTTATCATTCCTAGGATTATGTCCTTTCCATAGTATGTCCTCTTGCATTGGATTTCAGAAGGAAGAGTGTTCATTAAAAAAAATTAGGGCAGATTGACTTAATATTGTAAGACCACGCTCAGTCACCATCAGTAGCTCTAGCTTCTTTTTTTGGTTAAGAATTCAGAGTCTGTGTTAGGACAGATGAGCATGGAGATGTGGGAAGAGAGAAGATTAAGCACAGAAGTGATGGATCCGCTAAGATATTTTTTATATTAAGAACAATGGCAGTTCTATTTTTGAAGTATTCTGGGGTTAAGGCTTGCTATTTGCGGGGAAAACCCCCCAGTAAGCTATTAACAACAAGCTCCTTCCTTTTGCATCTCAGCCAAAAAAAGCCTGGAAAATTTTAGTAATTTCTATAGCCTTCCATTGACACTACTTCTAACATAACCTTAATTTTAATTCATGCATTGTAGACAGAAAATTAAAAGCTTTAATAATACAGCCATTAGCATTTATGCTTTATTAAAACTATTTGCACACTCTTTGTTGCACTTGTGAGACCTTTCAACAATACAGAACACACTTTTAATACATAAATGAGCAGAAACTCTCAGGGAAACAGAGGAATATTAGAACAGAGTTCAATGATGTAGGAAAGTACCTGGATAAAATTCCCCTTGCGCAAACATGTCAATCACATAGCGACAGAATGCATATTGATCTAACAGAGCAAAAAGGAAAAAAAAGAGTAATGAAGAAAGTAAATTTAAAATATTGTTTCTGTTTAACAGTAAAGATCAAGCTTGGCAGTGCAAAGACACATTTCAGGGATAGTCTTACTAATATGTTTGGGGTTTTTTTCTGGGACTTCAAGTAATACACATGTTCAGAAAAAGACAATTTATTGTTCTGATCTAATACAAGTCTCTCAGTCAAGAACTTCAGAGCTACCAGTGCCCCAGAGCTACCAACTCTTCTTCTGGGCTGGCAGGGCATAGTGCACGCCGCAGGTCAGCATTGCCCAGCCTCAGTTTTAGCATAAGTCCTAATCCCATGCACAAATACTGTGCAAAATGCTGCCTGGCCACAGGTCCTTAAGACTTTTTCTTATCCTTAAAGATCCATTTCAAATATTCGCAGCCAGGTGATAGAAAGATTTGATAAAGTTTTATATCACAGTACGTACATTTAGTGAATGGGAATACAAAGAGAACTCTGTGTACTTACACTCCTGTAGCAATGAGATGTTCCACAGTATTTTATCATTTCACTACAGAATTATTTTCCAAACACTAATCTTTACATATATATATATATATATATAAAATCTGGATCTATATATATATTAAAACTATGCTATTCAGAAATTAAGGCTTCTAAATCTAAACAAAACTATGATTTCAGAAATGTTAATTGTCTATTGATTTCTCCTATACTTAAGCAGAGTTTAAGACATTAATAATAATTTCTAACATTAAGGATGGTGAAGAAAAATTACCAGTTGTAACTCAGTGCAAAAGAATTGCAATATTATTGCAGAATTCTCTAGTTGGCCAGAAAAAAGCACATTAGCTTTGAAAGTTAATGTTGATGACTAGATGCCAACTCTGGTTAGCTATGTTAGTTACCAACTGTCCTTGAGTTAAGCATGTTCAGTTGTCTGTCCTAGACTGTTCCAGCACTGCTCCTAGGCCATAGAATTTACATCTCTTCCTCTTTACACGTCCTGTCACATCTTTCTCCTAATCACCTACAAAGCCATTTAGTTTCTCTTTGCCAACTTCAAAACAAAATTATGCAGACTTCGAAATATTTAAAATTTTAAAAATGACATAACTTATATTTAACTGCAAAATTACTTTCTCAAGTATGTAACACTCACTGTATTATTTTGCTTTCTTACACTGTTCTCTGGAATATCAGTATTAGTTGATGCTGAGGCATTTAAGTGATTGATGCTCTGTTATATTCACTGCCATAGAAGTCCTTGGGTGCAGAACTGCAGCATTCAAGTCATGATTTCCTATGCAGTTGTAGAAATTAGGGAAGGATTTACAAGCTCAGCAAATACCCATTTGTTTCTACTAGTCCGTAAGAGCCCATGCAGCTATTTCCTGCTACGGAGATGGAGAGGGTAATAATACTAGTCAGTATTGTGGAACCTGGGGCAAACCTTTCCAGATGTACACCAGGCTGTGGCTATAAACACTGCTTTTAAAACCTTTCATGACTATTCATAATTATTTCGGAATCCAAATTTATCATTCTACTTTCATAATTAGGAATCCAAATTTTTCATTCTGGCTGGCTCCAGCTTTGGATTCCATCCTTAAGGAATTTAAAGAACTTGGCTGAAATATCTGTCCCAAGTCTATGTGCTAATTTTCTGAAAAAAAGTAGCAGCGTATGTGTGAGGAGAAAACGAGTATGTACAAATCCGTACTCTCAGTAAGCCCATCTAAAGCCATTGAAGTCAGCAAATCATTTGCACTAATTTCAATGCACTTGCAAATAGGGCCTCCGTGAATCAGTCTGTGTTAATAATTAAAATGGACCAATGCCAAGCCTTTAGCCCAGAAAACAAATGGCAGGGCACAGCTCTTGCCCACAAAGCTGAGTTTTCCTTACCCTTCTTTTGCCAAAATAAGCTGCATTCATCCATGCTCCACTCTGGGAAGAGCCCCTGGATTATTCTGGGGCATTGTATGGAAGACTGCTAGATAGCCTGGGATGAAACTATGTCAGGGGACACAAGCTGTATGGACAATCACATGACAGGGCGCAGTTCTCTGATGGGTATATTTAGGTTGTGATATACACATAGCCTGAGGGCCTAGCAGCTCACACCATTTCATTGATACTAAAATAATCCATTTTTTAAATGTAGCAACACAGATCAGGACTGAAATAGACTCTGGGTGTCTGGGTTTGTTGGTGTTTTCGTTGGTTGGTTTGGGTTTTGGAGGGGTTTTTTGTTTGTGTTTTTGTGGAAATGTAATTTGAATAAACTTTAAAAAAGAAACTTGAATCTTAGTTGTGCCTGAGAAGAAAGATTTTGTATTAATCTTCTCATAAGAATTCTTTAGTAAATCAATCCCTGAAAACTGGGATTTATAAAAAAATCAAGGCACAATATTAAACTCTGAAAAACAAAAATAGCTTGTATATGAAACGGTAAGGTGCACAGTAACATCCCATTGAAGTTCATTGGAATTCTGCCAATCAGCAAAGATTGAAAACTAAGGAATTGTAAATTAATATGTTTTCCTAAATGTCTCTTCATGGCTAAAAATCATTTTAATCTAAACTCTCCTGTTAAAAAGAAAATTTCACAATGTAGTTTTCACTTTATAACTCTGTAGACTGGCACAGATATTCATCCGAGTACTAATAAATCATGTCAAAGTTTGGGACTAGATACTTGTTGATCAAAATAGTCATACAGATTTCTATTGTTGGATCTCATCTGATTTACCCTAGGACATGACCCATCTTTTTTAATTTTAAATTGAGTGAGGAATGATGCAACAGCAGGAACATCATAACAACCCTTCTGTGACTACTGTTATATTTTTTACACTGTTGCAGAAAAGCTGGCAGAACTACTCCCCTGAGCAAGGAAAAGTAAGGATTGCAGGATCAGGAAATCTTGGCAAAACCACATTGACTTCAAAATTATTTTCACCTTGGGTCACAGCAGGACTAAAATATAGAACTGAATTTTCTGAGAGTATCCAGCTGGGCAGCAGTTGCTTAAGGTGGAAAAAGCAAGGACAAAAGCAGAAAAGGCAGCTTTAACTGAACGTGTGTAGCCCTATCTCCAGTGATAAGGGCAGCTGAGGAGCCTCCTGCCTTCATCCACTCCAGCTGCTGATCCCTGCTTTCACCTGCCAGGGTTCAGTGCACAGTCATTGGGGTCACACTCTAAAGCAGACTTGGAAAGTGATCTGTTAATGCTTGATGTTAAGGTGGATCATTTTGCTAACATTTCTTAATTACAGGAGGAAAAAAAAAACCACCAAAAAGCCCCAAACAAACAAACCAGCCACCACCATTGTCTACTGCTCCCTCTAATCTTTAACCCCAGCTTACTTAAAATATTTTGCTGTCAGGGAGTAAAGTGCCTAATCTACACAACATTGTGTTTTGAGAGCCTTATCCTGAACAGTATGGAGTGGATCTCACTGTGCACTGAAACTCTGTCCGAGCAAACAAAAACTGAAAGAGATTTGCACCTCCTAAGAGGAGCCTGACAATTTGCTGAACTTTCCCCGTGGTCACAGCAATCAGATTGCAAGATGCTGCTTTGATTTTATGCCTCCAAGTCTCCAGCACTTCAGGTAAAAACCAAATTAACCAGAATACAAATAAAAGTTAAAATATACTGATTTAGCACACTATGCATGTCAGAAAGGAGGCGATGTCTCAAGATGTCTCAGCTTTCTAGAAACATATAATTTAGGAAATTCCTAAGGGGTCCAGAGCTGATGGCTATGAAATTCTGAGATAATCTGCCTGGGCAGATTCAGCTGTCCAGGCAGGGGTGGCTTCTTTGATGCTCAGGTGTAACGATTTATCTGTGGTTATCAGCTGAAAGGATCAGATAGGTGTGCCACACAAAGCTGAGCTGCCTCTATGAATGTCGGAATAATCCTGTCCCTGCCGTGCGGCAATGTGTACAGAGAGCTGTGTCCTGCTGCCTTCATTCCCACAAAATTGTACCTAACGCCATGGAACAGCCAGAGGGAAATCAGGGGACCGCTTAGTGCAATTCCGGAGTGGCTCTTAGAAAGAGGGGCATCTATTTAACATCTCTGCTTGGTGTTGACACACGTTGATTCTATGTTTTATCACTTAACTTCTTCTTTTCTCCAAGGTAATGGCGATTCTTTTCCTTTTAGGAGAAATTTGGAAGCTGATCACATCAGATTACCACAGGTAGGTATATCATTATGTCATATAATACCTGACAATATGACAATGCCTCATAAAATCTGATGTAGTACAAATTATTACATTCCCTTTCCTCTGCTGCTACCTTCCTTATTGTTACAGAGGATATACACTGATCTAGAAACAAAATACAATTCCCAACAAGTCATTTGACAGTCTGTATTTTCCAAAATAACTTTACTAGCACTACATACTACGTAAGATGCTACTGAGCAAATCCATGAAGACTACAGACTATCTGAAGAGAAACTGGTCCTTGTTAAAGAAGAATTTAAACTAAAATGAATCTTAGCCATGACAAGCAGAACATTCTGGTTATTTAGGTTAAACTTATTTTATGTTTGATAGCCTCCTTCTAGCAGTCTGAGATTCTTCTGGAATATATATGTTCTGTACTTTTCCTTTTCATGGGTTGACTTTGGTCCTTACCAGCTTTAACTCCATTCTTTCTGCCTCTTCCCTACTACCTTTTTAAGATCTTCATCTGTTTCCTCCTCTTTTTGTTTACCTTTCTTTTCCGATTTAGTTACAGTCTGAAGAGCTTTCTCCTCCTTAACTTTTGGCTTGGCCCTTATTAGCCCAACTTCTGTTGTTTTAGTCTCTGCCTGCTTGACCTTCTCAGCCGTCTTTTCTTCTCCTTTTCCATCCTTCACTTCCTTTTTAACTTTTGCTTCCACTTTAGTGCTTTTTACTTTCTTCTCCTCTGCAGGTAGTAAAGAAAAAGCTTTCAGTGTCATTCTTTCCCCCCAGAGTAATAATCAATAGCATTTATTTTATATTGCGTTATTACTAATGAGCATTTCTTCATCATTAACACCTTGCTCAGATATAATGAAAGCTATAAACCCCCCAAACCAGACAGACTTAGACAGAAATATGAGATGCAAGCATGTTTTGTCTTCAGTCCTGTACCAAGTATTTGGCTGATAATAAGAATAGTAGGTTATGGCAAATAATATTCAATGTTTGTAATGACAATATGTTAGCTTTTATGGCATAAACAAGGGAGACAAATGTAGGTCATGAAGCTAACAAATATGGAAGGTATTTCCAGGCTAAATCTGACTAACTTTAGACTTCAGAAATTAGAGCTAAACTCTGTTGTAAGCTGTAAGTGTCATTAATTTAAAGTGTGGCTATTTGCAAGGGTCGCTTTAGTGCACCGATACTAGGTCTCTGTTCTTGAGTCTCTTTCTGCACCAATTCCCTGGGCTGAAAGACTAGTCTGCAACAGGCCGGTTCATGACGTATCCTGCAGCAGAATGAGAAGGGTTTCCAAGGAGAATCGCCAAATTGTAAATATCAGTGTCTGAAGCCACACAGAGGTTGGTGAGACCAGGACTGTTCCTTTGGCTCTTATGTATCAGCAGCTTTTTCTCGGTTGAGACATGGATGCTGGCAATATTTGTGTTTCTAGTTCACTTCAGTGGAAAATCCAACAGTAGTGTAAAATGCCACTGAATATGGCTTAAACTAATCTCTTTAGTGTGATGTTTTCTTCATATATCTGAAGGTCTCCATCCTTGAGGCAAAATATGAATGTTACAAAATCCATGTTTTTTGTAAGTCTCCGGACTTCTATTCCTATTAAGTCACTGACCTGACTAGACTGATTTTATCAATATGTAAACTGAATAGTTCTACCTATTCTAAAACAAAATACAGATATTTTTATAAGGAACAACTCCTACTTTCAAACAAAGCCACGGCAGGACCAAATTAATTGCTGACTAGTGAAGAAAGAATTTGTGGTGAAAAAGTGTACGTCAGCTCACTTAAGGATACGTATACCTCTTTTTCAGGGAAATGGTGATTCATACCTTTAATTTTCATCTTTGACATTTCAATATATTTTAAAAGGGATCGTGCATAGAACTAACCCCTGGATGTTTTAAAGTTATTTTAATTTTATTTTAATTTCGTTATAGTATTATGTAACTGATTTTTCATATGCATTATATTGTCTGCTTCAGTAAAATAAAGTTTCTGAATTTTAATGTAAATTCTGGCTAAAAATGTAGTATAAATAAATAAATACCTTTGGGGGGAGGTTTCTTTTCAGCTTTTTCATGTCTTTCAGGTTTGTCTTTCTGAATTACTGGAAATGAGTACAATTATACATTAGGGAAAAAAAATGACAAAGAACGACAAAATGTTGCTGAAACAAAATAACATCCCTGGAAGTTTCACATTTCTTCATGACTCCTATTTTTTTTTTTGCAAAAATTCTTGTTTTTTTTTCACAGGCTCACACACTGGTTAAAAATCTTCAAAATATCTGTTGAGACTGACCTAATCAGCAGACAAAGCATTCACAAAGATCTGAAGCTTTATAGGGAACGTTTATACTGCATATTCCAGATGACAAAAAGCTTCGAGCAGACATGGGCTTGATCTTGTGCTTCAGCCAACACGAAGCCGTGTGACTACATTTGTCTTACAGAAACATGTTGTTCTTAGCTTGGGCTCACTGTCCCACAAATAGAGCCACAAGCCTGGTGCTCACTTCAAAGCCCAGCTTGAGTGAGTTCATGTCTGCACAGGATGCACTGTGTAAACACACACATTGCTATGTCCCAGAAAGGCTGTCAAATTTTTATGTGGAGATTTCTGTCTTTTCTCTCTTAGTTGCCATCCAGACACATTGTCAGAACAAAACAGTCTTGAGAGTTAATTACACTTATTTCAAGCGATAACTACAGAATGGCAACATCCTTCCTAACTGAATTCCAGCCTGGAATTTCTGCTTATATGAGCCATGTTTGATATTTAGACTTGTTTTTCTTAAGATAGTTGTTTCTTAGATGACGTGTTTAAATGGCATTCATATAACTGAAACTGTCTGGAGCCTTTAACAGGGGCTAAAGAAGTACCATAAGTCTTGAGCATAGAGAAAATCTCTGGACTGTGGGGGAACCAGCCACCTGATTTTCAGTACGCTTGTTCCCTAAAGTTAGCCTGAATCTGAACATCTTCATTTCCTAGGGACTGCAAGTGGTTGAAATGGCCCCTCCGCACTGCTGGTAGTTAATCCAGTTTAGGGCATACCCCAGATGAAAGGGAGGTGAGCCTGGCAATGGATAGCTCAGTACATGGCTGGCAGAAATGTGCCTTAGGCAGAAGAGCGGAAGGCAAAGAGTGCCCCAGCGCACTGAGTCCAGCCACAGGGACTCGCATGGTGTGGAAGCTCTTCAAGAGAGGGTAGAGTGTCTATATGTCATAACACAGCAGCAAATCCCTCTAGTTACAAGGCGGACAAATTCTTCATAAAATTTTCCAGCCAGTGACTGGAGTCATGGTTGCTACTGAACACATTAAAGCACTAAGCGATTGTTTGATTAGCCAGCAGAAGATAAATGGGCAAACAGGCTGGCTGCTCATTAGGAATATCAGTGATTCTTGGAAGTTATTTGCTTTTCTGATCTATACAGACAGTGTGGGCATTTATTTTCCCTGGATTACTTCAGTGTGATTTCACTTCAATAAAAAATCCTACTATTTCAAGTTAAACACTCAAAGTACAAAACCAGACCAAATATCCCTTTTAAACAGAAACTGGACAATGGCTACCTTTCAAAGTCTTTCCAGGCTTTAAGTTTTCATTTCACTTTTTCTCTTTCTTCACTCCTACTTTCTGTTTTACGTTTCTCCTTAGAGTAAGTTCAAGTCCAACAAAGGCTGATTCGTACATTTGAATTTATGTTATCTGGACGGATTCAAATTAAACCTTATTAATTCATGTGTCCTGTCATCACCAGATTAATCTGAATGTTGTAACAGACTGATATTAAGATACTTTGCATAGGTGGTTTTTTTTCAAGAGTTAACTGAGTAAAAGTAAGAAGAGAAAAAGGCTGAAATCTAACTTTGTTATAGAAATAACTGGCTTCTGAAAAGCAATGTGTATTAAAAAAAAAAGAAAACTTCAGGGCAAAAACAATCAAATGCCAAGCAATAATAAATGTTAGTCTTTAAAAAATGGCATAACAGGGCAAGCTGATTGAATTTTTAAATACCCCTGTCTAAGTCATGGCCAAAGATGGAGTTCTCAGTCAAAAGAATATTGGTAATCTCCTCTTCTACACGATATTGCATCAAAATATATATGATAATTAGTAGATATGTAAATCTCAGCCAAAAGCCACCTCTGTCGTGGATGACAGTACATATCATGTACTGAAGTGAAAATGTTGCAAAAAAATAAAGGAAAGAAAATGAAAATCTGTTTTTGGATGTGATGGACTACCCAGATGGAGAGTTAGTTAACACTCTCAGTGCATTAGGTCTGCACCAGACTGAAAAATGATACACAAGAAAAAGTCTTCTTTACAGGCAAATTACTGAATCCCATTGTGGAGGAAAAGACATGAAGGAACGGAAATGTAATAGTCATAGGCTTATTTCTTTAGCTGCACAAGAATGATTTATAATTACCTCTGTGCATCAAAACAAGAGAACTAAGCAAATAATATATGCTGAGCCTGACTTCACTCAGGGGCTGATCAAGCTCTGCACAAGCAAACATGAGAGCACCCAGAAAATGTACAGCATGGACTAGAAGAGATTTATACTTTAAGTTAATCTCCACTGTCTCCCAAATTATATAAATGCTGAAAATCTAAAACTGTACAACATCTAATATCCGCATTACCTTTAGAAGGTTCTTTCTTTTCATGTTTTTCTGGCTTTTCAGGTTTCGCTTTGTGAATAGCTAGAAATAAATAGCAACAACATTAATGGTCGTTGGAAAAGAAAAGTGTTGCATTTTAAGTGAGAAAGAGGACAAAAAATATGAAGAAACACAACTAAACACCTTGGCTATCCATGCAAAGAAGCAGAAAGATTGATTCAGCTTCTGCTGTCTGCTGATGATGCCAAAACACGTGAGATGAATTTTCAATAACTTGTCTAACCATCCCTCAGGTCTCTGCCATTGGCTGGGGGGAGGAATGGCCTTTCTGGCACAAACGTAATCCCAGGAAAGAAGTTAGTAAATAAAAGTCATGCTTCCTTATGTTGTCTACTGGTTCATTTTGTTTATTTTGTTTATACTGTGGTTTCTTGGTTTATTTTGGTTTATTGTTATATTTGAGCTTTCTTGTTTATTACTTTGGTTCATTTCTGAAGGATTTTCTGAACTCCACAAAACAGCTAACAGTTTTTCCAGCTATGAATGATTAAAGACTATAATTAATTACAAATCTAATTGCAATGGCATTATAACTCATGCTCTTTGGGGCTTTTTGTTTGCTTTTAATTTCCACTCTACAAATTGAAATAAAGTACACTATAGTGACTAGATTTCTGGCTCAGGTTTCAGAATACACCTGAACTGTGCAATAGTCACTGAGTGGTGGGTAGTCTGGAATATTCTCTGATTTGCTAAATTTTTGTGTTTTATGTTTACACAGTAACTAGCCCAAGGGTGTGCAGAACTGATATTTGTATGTGTTCATATCCCCTGAGGTACCATACAGGGACCGGGCGTGTGAAAGCACTCATCTGTCTATTCGATTCTAGCATAGGAGTTTATACAAAGAACACAAAAATGTATGCATGAGCATTGCTGCGTGCTCTCCAAACTTGTGTTGGTGTTTCAAAACAAAGTAAGAGTTTCAGAAGATAAAGCAGTGCTAGATACCCACTCATTGCAAGTAACTGCTCAAAGAAATAGTCCTGCCCTATTAATTTCCTATGCAACAGCCCTACTCAGTATTGTAGTTAAAAGATTGTTTTCACATGGCCTGCCTCATTAGCTTTGTTCACATTTTCCCTTTTCAGGTTTTTGGGTGTTCTTCCTGGATGACCATATTCTTTAGGAACCATGCTTAATGAGAGTGTTGGAAATACTCGGAGGTTACTGGGAGATTAGACTAATCCAGAGTATAAAATATATTACCTCCTTTCCTCAGAAAAATCCCCACAACAAACGTGCAGAAGGAATACAAAATGTTACTCAGTCTGTGTGTCTGCAAATCATTACGTTCCCTCACGATTTTTACTCATGAAGTTTTATAACATTTTTTCCAATCAAGGGGATAAATAAATGGAAAATGAGTGGGCAACTAGTCCCAAGGTACCTCAAAATGTAAAACAAGGCTTGACATTAAATCATTACCTGCATGCCTTTCCTTTTTTTCAGGTTTTTCTTGTCTTTCCAGTTTGTCTTTATGGGTCACTAGGAAAGAAGAAATGTGTTCGTACATATTAAAAAACAAAAGTGTGGAAAAAATGAAAAATTGAAAATAGTTGTACCAAGATAAACCTCAGCAGACGAAATGGCAAATTGTGTTATTCCTGAGCTATTCCACACCTATCTGCCCAGCACACTTCATACTACATGGATGTGAGTGACAACTTTGGGTAACAAGTTACCGCTTACTGTCCAAGCCGTGGTAACATGCCTCATCTGTTCACCACAGTCTCATCATTGCTGCAATTGTCTGTCCGTTCCTGAAGACTGTTTTTCAGAGAACTGTCAAGGACTAAGGCAAAGCTCACTTTAAATACTGCTGCCTGCACTAGAAACAGGACATCACCTGGGCCACCCCATACTCTGAAAGGCAGAGGCTCGTAAAAACCCTGGAATCAATCCTGGAGCATAAGAACATCACATGCACAAATAACACGCCTGTCACTTGCCAGATGGCTTGAAATGGATAACCAGTAACAGATACGGGTAGCTAGGAATGGATACAAATAGCTAGTAATGGACACTAGCCAAGATCAGTCCCTGGCAAATGATGATCTCAAAGCCATAATTAAACGCCCAGTATGTGCAAAGTAAAAACTAACATTGTGACAGTGGAACTGTATTGTGCTATTTACTCATTCACATAACATTTTCCACTCACCCTTCTTAGCATCTCACACAATAATTTCACGGACAACGGGAAATAAGCATGTGCATTTTAGAGCACTTGAGAAAAATCAGCTGCGAAACTGCAAGCTAGCTTTAACTCGAACTCCTGTGGAGATTTCCTCGCAGTTTTGTAAAAATCCTTTGTCAAACATGAGAAAATAAGAAAGTTCTTCTACAGTACTGTGAATTCCAGATCTAACTGGAAGCAAAATCATAGAATCACAGAATCATTAAGGTTGGAAAAGACCTCTAAGATCATCAAGTCCAACCGTCAACCCAACACCAACATGCCTGCTAAACCATGTACATGTGAAAAAGAAGGGTACAGAATATTCAAGCCCTCGCATGTTTTTAGCAATATTGTAATGAAATATATGAGAATGAGTTCCTGATGTAGCTGACTGAGTCACTTCTAAGTGACTGAGACACTTCTAACTATTCTCTGTGTCATTAGGTAACTTTCCTAAGCTTCATCACAGAAGTTGATTAGAAATTAGAATAGGCTATTATTTACTCTCTCCATTATCCAAATCTTAGAAAGGCAATGTATATGAAGTAGAAAATAAGCAGTTAAAACACAGGGTAGTAGTGAAAACTTAGTCTCCCAGTCACACTACAATGAAACGCACCTCAGAAAGCCATTTATCCACAATCCTCGTTTGAAAATATAATGTACATTCTGAAAGCAATGTTTCTTAGTACTGTGAATTAAGAGAATCTCTACATGCAGTAGTGTTTTAGTAATAATTGTAGCAATAGTTCGCTCAACAAAAATGAGTCATACACTCACTTTAAGATAAAATAGAGTTAGTAGTACTGTCACGTAGATGGAATATTGGTTGAAGTTATGACAAGTTAAGGCAGTATAATAATACTTATTCTTTTCAATGGCGATCTGAGATTAGCTGGGATCATTTTTTCCTGTTCTAAGAAACTTTTTAAAACATTCAGTATTGTTCTCCTGTCAAAGCTAATTGAAGTTTCCCAAATTTTCCACAAAATAACAGAAGTCTTAACGACATATTTATGCTTTAATATGTGACATTACAGACTTTGCTCTGTCATTTTTCCAAATCTCAGAAAAACTCTCTTTTATTATGACCATTCCATTTTCTAGTAATAAATATTCATTCTAACAGAAACGTGAACTTCTGTGCCTGCCATTAACCTTGTGAGTCAGTCTTGATAACTCAATGTATTTTTAATTTATATAAAATGAGGAAGCTCCAATCAGAGACCATTAGAAAGGCCTAGTCAAACACAGATTTCAGGAAGATGCATATTCACTTGGGCTGTGAGACTCGTGTTCTTGGTCTGAAATAAATCAGCCGTGTCTGGATATCGTGTCTTCCCTTTTTTGGGTGATTTATTATGACCACTGGCCTATCTGCTTTTCCAGAATGTGTTTCTTCCTCCAGCCTGAGACTTCATTAATCACATTTTTATTTGAAGGACATATTCTCAGAAGGCTTAAAGGGTTTTGACAAGTAGGTATGTTCCAAAAAAACTCCATTTTTCCAAAAAGCCCCTAGCAAGACTCAAGCTAGACTGTGGTTCTTGGAGCCCAGAAATAACTCATGAGTCGTGGGTGGAGAGGAAGCGATATCCTGATTCTGACTCCTGCAACAGGCAGATCCGTAATTCGTTGTTGGCATACACCATCAGCAAAGTAGTAAATCCTCTCTAACACCCTCTCTCCAACACCTCAGAAACGAGTCGGGGAATTCTTTTCTTCTAAGGCAGGTCTCTGATGTGGAATGCCTCCAGGGACCATGTCCTGTCTGTTATAATTTACTCCTTACATTTTGCTCAGAAGTATTCCCAAGGACAAATATTATGCTTGGATTTATCCAGGAAGAATAAAAAAGGCATCTATTTATGCTCTGGGCATCTTTTACATGAGTTAATCATACACTAAAAACTTACTCATTAATCTCTGATTATAATTTTAGCCTTTCTGCAGAGTGACGAATTCAAAGTGCTTTTAAAATTGTCGTTCTCCTTCCAGCTGATTTTCATAACACCTACTCCATCCTTAAACATAATTGGGATTTACAAAAAGAGTCTAAGAGCCAATAGATTAGATCATTTTGAACCACTGGTAAAAGGACAAAGAACACAAAATGTTGAATACATACCCTTGAGGGGTTCCTTCCTCTCAATTTTTTCTTGTTTTTCAGGTTTATCCCTGTGAGTTACTAGAAATAATAAGAAAAACCACAATAAATCTGTAATCTGGAGACATTACATACATTTACTATTTCACCAAAGTGATCGAGGAAAAATGTTTGTAAAATCAAATAATGGATTTTAACTCTGAGTACTCTGAGGTACTAGATGATGTATAGGCCTTCTTAATATCAATATTTAATTCCAGGTCCAAGAGAAATATTTTTCCTTGAATAAGCCTTCAGATATTAGACTATATATTTGCAATATAAATGATTATTCAGCACCTTTACCTTAATCTGTGAGATCTCTTTTGGCCCCATTACACAAGCACCCTGACTCTAAGATTTCTGACAGAGGAAATTATTTTCAGTCCTTGACAACCTTGCTTTCTATTATTAACAAAAAATGTCTAGCGTATTTCTTTCCATGCTCTTTTTTCTTTATTTTTAGCTGTTACTTCAGCCACAGAATGGATTAACAAGAGAACATCTCTTTTAATCAGAGAGTAACTTCAGGAAGAGCAGCTGTTCAAAACACAACCAAGTACATGTCCTTCTAGAAGGAGGCAAACATGAATCCTTACAAGCTCTGTTGCCCACCCAACTTGCAGACCATGTGTTTGGACATAGTTATATTCCACATCCTAATCATTTAGATAGACAAAAACACTCCTTGTCATCCTCTACTACTAAAAGACCAGGTTTTTGCAACTTCAGGGAAAAAATACTTTCTTTGCAATACTCAAGTTTCTGTCAACATGTAAACCACAGAAAACACAACAGATTAGAAGACAACTGTGAGCTCTATACACAAGCACAGTAATGTTTTTACATACATTCATTTCACCAGCTTTACAGCAAATGTAATTTCACAGAAGTGCAAGCATATTTTTTATTCGTTAAATATTTCATCATTAAAGTTAGGCCTATGTCATTAAGAAAAATTGTTCCATAAATTCAGTAATTTCATTGCATCTTGGATGTGTTTGCATTATCCAAATACAACTCCAGTCATAACAGGTAAATTATTGTTGATAACAATTAACTGTACAGTGGAAAGAGATTGAAGGGAGATTTTTCAAATCCTCCTTTAAGGAATGTGGACAGCCAACTTACACTGAAAAAACAGGCTGTGAAGAATGCAGCAGCAGTAGCAATGTATTATTGAATGAATTACAGACTGTAACTCATTCAGTTGCTTTAGGACACCTAGTAGCATACCAAGGAAAAGCGGTCTCCTTTCTCCCTATGCCGTATAGAACTTAGACTGAACAGTTTTGCATAAAATGTAGCATGCTTTTACATCTTACATTTGTATTAGCAGATGCTAGGTCTGTGCAAAATACTTCAAGCCAGCACATTATCAATTTTGAATGGGGCAACAGCACAGTTGTGCAAACAACAGCTCTGTGATCGTCAATGGCAGTGAAACATGAGCTTCTTGCACATCGAACAAAAGGACTTGTAGTCTCTATGCCAAAAAATACAGCTGAACTAAGCAGAACAGACTGGCAATCAGAAAGCTTGTTTTTAGCCACAGAACATCTTACCTGTGTAAGGAATACTGCTGTGGTGAGTTTTTTAATTTATTCTAGTTTCTCCATAGCATTTCCCTATTTCATCCTTTGGAAAGAAACCCAAACCAAGCTGTGAACAACACTAGCTGAACGGAGTGTCAGCGGACCTTGAGTGGCCGGAAAAATATATTTTAAGGTTCCTTCACATCATGAAAATGATATAAAGGGCTAACATGCAAGGAAATATTGTTTGTGTGGAGTCCAAGCTAAAAACATGAAGGGATCAGTTGGCTCCTTCTTGTGAAATAAAAGTAATTTGATGTATCTAGGCAGGGAGCCTGGAATGTGGATAAGCAGAGACCAGGCTGGCATAAGCATAAGCTATTTTTCTCTTCCCAATGACAGACTGAAGGCGACCTCTGGTTAGTTGAAGAGCCCCATCCTTTGTGTTGATGTCCCCATAGCCTCAGAGCTTGCTAATCTCAGATTGTGATGTTTACCATTACCTCTTATGGACACAGTCAGAGGCATGGTGTTTGGGTAGAACCTTATTTGGGAAGGGCAGGAGATGCCAAAACTTCAAGGTTCATGTTTCAGGGCTGTGATGAATGGCCATTTTTAACAATCACAGTGCAGCAGGGACACCAAAGTCCACAGAAGCTTTTGATCTAACAAACATGAATATTATTTTTCTGTTGCGTATTAACTCTGTTTTTTCTCCCTGGAATGTTTTCATGTTCAGCATCATATGTAGTCCTACAAGCCCTGTCATAAAAAAGACTTCACTGTCTACAGTTATTTTCCAAATTTAGTCACTTGGATATCTGTTTCTTTGTAAAGGGCTTAATACATGCCTGTTTTCAAGCCCACATTGTTAGGTGCAAGTATTAGGTTTTAGAACTAAGGCAGGCTGGCCATACTGTCAAGTTTCTGTGCAACAAACTAAAGTTAATAAGATTTTCTTTTTTGCATATAAAAAAAAAAAGAGAAAGCACATAAAAATATTTTTAAGGCTGCAAGGCCAAACACTCTTCAGCTGAAAATTATTAAAACTAAAACTGCTCATTCACCTTTAATTTGACCATTTGATTTGCTTCATGACACACTTTGTAATTAAAAGATCATATCTTTATTTAATATGTTGCTGAATTCACTCAGAAAAAACAGTGATAACTAAAACTAGTTTTATGACAATTGTGTAAGCTAAAATTTTCCCACAACTTAAAGAAATTTTCTTGGACTTCCTTGCAAATACCAAAAAAGCATAAGTTCAGAATGAACTGTTATTAGCATTGGAAAAAATATAACACCCCAACCTAATTTTCACTAACCTAGATTTTCGAAATTGCTGAAATATTTTTGTATGACTTTGAATGGAAATTCAGCCTGAGGCAAAAAAATGAGCATGAAAAATTTCATCCTCAGTGACTGGAGTGAGGTAAATTTATAAATAATCTAAAATAGGAGCTTATAATGAAAAATTTTAAGGTAATTTAACAATGTATTCCATACTTAGTCATTTAAGAATATTGCTATCTATAACACACAAAATTCAAAGCAATAGATATAGCATATATGTGCGAGATTTTTCCGAATTTCAATAATCTAACAGTATATATGAACTGCATCAAGTGGAAGACATAGTGAAGTGGTATGTGATTTAGTTTTTCTTCATTAAAGTGTTTGAGACAGAGACATTCCCCATCCCAAAAAAGCAAGTGCAAAAAGAAGAGATGTAGTAAGGAGGCATTAATTCCCTACCTAAGGGAAGTAAAAATAGTTTCCAGCTGAGTAAGTCTTAAGTCTGCTACTTAGTATAAAGCTAGGTGATGAGTGCAATAAGCATGAAGAAGAGATTGCTTGCTCCAGCTAACTGACTAAGTGCTAGTCTACAGAGCTACGCTCAGGGAAGTTAAGATAAATGAACTGATACAATGCAGTTAGAGTGCATTAGTCAGAAAGCATTACACCTCTGTGTAGATGCTTTTATTCAGAAGTAAAGTAACCTTAGATGGCTATAACTTAATTCTTCTTGAAGGAACACTCAAAAAAAAAAAAAAAACAAAAAGAGGAAAGGGCTTGATCTGGAGAGAGGTACAGGCTTCCAGGTCCAAAATAACAATGTCAGGAAATCTCAGCAATTAGTGGACTGTGGAGGCACCTGTGCTCATTACAAATCACCTCAGTTACCTGTGAAGGGGGAAGAGGCTTAGCCTCTGAATTTGCCCAGATCTTCCCCAGCTGGCAACAGACATCCACAAGCTGCCCACTGCAGCACCTGACCCTGTGCTGGATTTAGCCCTTCATTACCAAATATAAATGCCTATATAAGAGCAAGACAATGTCTCACGGGTTACATGTTTGTACAATTTAAAACTAGATTTAATTGCAGCAGTCCGACTGTGTTACATCCATCTGAACTGAGATTTAGGTTTGACAGCTACTGGTCATAGTCAAACTGCCCACAGCTTTGGTTTTAACCTAGGCTGCTGTAAGCCCATACAGCTAAATGAATACTTGACAGTTGTACCTGAGCCACTGCAGCTGCATTGCTATCTGTGCCATGCCACCTAGTTTAAAGTCTCAGGTATATCTGTAACCATACATCCAGAGATCAAAGTAGACAACCCCTGTGTCAAGTGTAAATATGCCATGGAACTTTCTAATTTTATTTCTAGCACACTGTAGAATTGTATGGTCCAGCACTATTTACCTATTTGGCTGTCTCAAATACTTTATCTTTCAGCTAGAGCAAATTAAAATATGAGGCCACATTATATTTGTCTTTATAATCTCATTATTTATCCATATGTTAAAAGACAGAGAGATTTCTTCTGTGGTGTTTAATATTTACATTATCAGTACGACCCAACTAGTTGTTGAAGCGTACAACAAGTTGGTAGGGGTGTGAGGGACAGATATGTGCTACACGTAGTAAATGAAATAGTTTTGAATGGCCTGGAATCAATTTGTCAAGTCAGGCTGAATTCAGAGATATTTTCTGCAAATAAACAAGAGGCTAGTGCTAATTCAGAGGTACATGAATATCAGTCCTAAAACCACTATGATTTAATCTTTGTCTGTCAGACGTAGCATTTCATCATCACATTGTCTTCTTCCCTCCCTCACTCTGACAGCAATGTATTAGTGAAGTGTATTTGAGAAAAGCCACACAGTATATCAGACTTTTCCCATTCCTTCTCAATGCCTGTTGTGGTACGAGATATTTCCCAGAAATGCAGGTCAATTAATTTCACTGCTAATATCAGTTTTCCGTAAAAATCAGAAATGATCTGTTCATTTGGATTATCATTGGATCTTCCATTAGACGGAAGTTATATGCTTATATCTACTTTTATCTCAATATGTTTTATTATTGTTCTTCCTTATTGCAAAGCATTGCATAGTTACCTCTTCTTCATTGATAGTAAGAACAATTGTAACACTTATTTCTTAAGGGCAACGAGGCTGGTGGGGGGTCTAGAGAACAAGTCTTATGAGGAGTGGTTGAGGGAACTGGGGCTGTTTAGTCTGGAGAAGAGGAGGCTGAGGGGGGACCTTATTGCTCTCTACAACTGCATGAAAGGAGGTTGTAGTGAGGCAGATGTTGGTCTCTTCTCCCAGCTATCCATCAATAGAATGAGAGGCAATGGCCTCAAGTTGTGTCAGGGGAGGTTTAGATTAGATATTAGGACAAATTTCTTCACTGAAAGAGTGGTCAGGCATTGGAACAGGATGCCCAGGGAGGTGGTTGAGTCACCATCCCTGGAGGCATTTAAAAAAAGTGTAGATGTGGCACCTTCAGGACACGGTTTAGTAGGCACGGTGTTGTTGGGTGGGTGGTTGGACTTGATGATCTTAGAGGCCTTTTCCAACCTTAATGGTTCCATGATTCTATGACTCAACAGCCTTCAGCAGCAGCTCAGAGCCTTGCAAAGTCTGTGTATGTTACAAAATGACAGACTCACAGGACGACTGTCCCAGACTGAGCCAGCTCCATCCCTCAGCTTCTCCCCTCTGGGCAACTGTGTCAGCCACGACCATTGCAGTGGCCCCACACTGAACTCACCCCAGTTTATTGATGTTTGTCGTGTACTGGGAGGTCCAGAATTGGACGTAGTGTCTAAATGTGGTCTCCGGAGAGCTGAGTACAGGGGGATGATTAATCCCTTACCTCCACTTGAGTGACCGAGCTCCTGCTCATACAGTGCAGGGTGCTGTTGACCCTTGTGAGAGTACTAACACATCAGACACCAAACTGGAAAACCACTATTTTGCAGTGAATTTGTGCATATGTGTACACATAATAGTGAAATAGTTTAATTTCAGTGCATGAGTAAATGCTTTGTTGAATCATTTCTCAGAGTATTTCTTCTTTTCAGAATTAAATTGACTAAGAAATTGAAATGGACTTTGTTACTACTAGTTTATCAAAATATTTAATTGAAAGCAAATATTAGAGAAGAAGTTTGCTTGGCTTCTAATACCATAAGAGTCTTTCTTCTCATTTCAGCCACTTCTGTCTGGGATTTCCATGCATTGTATCTATCCTTCATATTTTGTTACAGTGTTTTAGAAATGAAGCTTATGAATGGAACTCCCTTGTAAATCTTGGGACTTGAATTTGGGTGGTTTGACTATTCAAAAAAAAGCTTAACATTACTTTTAACACTCTAGTGTCCCCATATTTTTGAGTGGAGGACTGAAAATTTTGGGTGGTGTTTGTTTCTATTAAAAACACTCATTTTACCTCTAGATTTTTCCTCTTGAAAGCAACAAAGGACTGTATTTCCACATGCTTCCTGGAGATACGTTAGAAGGTAACAGTAAAACCCTCTATAAATTCATGCCTTTATCACGCTTTATCTTGAGGCCAGACAGCATGTTTTCTTGTAATTGTTCCTCCTATGTACAAGATGCATTTTTGGGACTACATATGAAAATGAAAAATAGAAAAATAATATTTGCCCTGTGCTTCAGTAAGTGATTATATAATCAAAGACTGGATTATCAGGCATATGCATAAAGGGACTTGACTAATAACACCTGAATGCTTTTTTTCAGGCATCTTATACATTCTTAGTATTCATTTCTGCGGTGCTAATGTTCTTCTATATAAACAAATGCACTTCTGTATAGATAAAATGGTACGTAACAGGCTGTTTTGGTCAAGGCTGCAACTTCATTTGTATTTTTTTCAGAATATTGGGCTTGAACATACCTTAACTGGGATCCCTTGCTAATGGATCTGAGTTCATTATTGCCTGGCTAGCCCACTGATACCCTAAAAAATTCATTTTCATACAACCTGATTTATTAAGTAGTTGGGAAGCAGTTCTAGGCACTCCAGATGACCCCCATTAGCACAGAACTGGAAAGTTAGCACTAGAGGTCTAAAATACTATGAAAACCTACAAAGAATATATACAGAAATGAATATAATTGTGTGAGGGAGAGTGTATGTATATGTACACTATTTTTAATAAGCTTCCTTCTTGATTTCTCCTGCCATTACTAAACACAGTACTGCTGCATCAGAGAGATGCTCATCAAATTTTATGTGGCCTACACTTCATGGAGGAGGCTTTCTTAGGCAAAAAATGCGCAAAACTTCTTTGTTTATATGACCTCTGAAAACCAGTCCAAACCAGTTCCTCTGTGCATTTTTGGAAAGTGCAAGTTAGAGGAGACAGAACAGTCTGAAAAAGAGTAGGTTCTTAAAATGTAGGCTTTTCTTATCTCTGATATACACCTGGCTCACTGTTAACTGCAACTTCCTAACTTGGATGGCACCCACTGGCCTATAAATTTGCTTTCTTCTTTGCCCAACACACTTCATGATTTTTGCACCAGAGGAAGTTCGTCAACACTCTACTTTCTTGCACCTTTGCTACAAAAAAGATTCCTCAAAAACTTTGGGCAGGAAAATCTTATGAATGTGCGTTTATGATATAGCCACACAAACATAAAATGATGCTGTTTGTTAATGCTAAGGTATAGATGAATGTTTGATAATTTACAGTCTGTGCCAACTGATCTTTGAATGTTGCTATAATGCAACAGTGGTAACACACGTAGTTAACAAATACACTGTATATTACACACATACATGAAAGTAAACAGGCAAAAAAAAAAAGTTACCCTTTGGTGCTGTTCTTTTTTCCTGTCTCTCCAGTTTCTGTTTATGAATTTCTGAAAACAATGCAATGTAGATTTAGCAATATTAAAATAATTTTTGTAGAAGAAATTTTCAAATGCATTCTCATAAGAAAAAATAACTAAATGCTTCAAATATTATAGCAGAGCCATGGCTTTATCATCTACGTATTCAGAATTATATACAATAAAGTTCAATTTTATATATATACATGCAGACAATATATACAGACAAAAATCATAACATTAAGTGACTTTAATATTTATTCAGTTTTTAATCCAGCAATACAGCTACTTTTAAAGTCAAGGATGGGTTTTGCTGATCTGTAATAGCTATACAGTAATGTGTGTTCGTCAAGAATCAAAAAAACAAGTTTTACTAAACATTTTCCTGTATGTATCTTGAATTATTTACTAGCATTAGTATTTTATGTTTTCCAAAATACCTTTCGAAGGAAAAATTGTTCTTTTTACTACATTTTCTAAATTTTTTAAAGCTTATATATTCAATTGGTAGCTCCAACACACAATAAAAGGTAGACTCAATATTGTATACAAATTACAGAGATAAAAGTTCCCAGGTTAGGGATCATTGTCTCAGAGAATGACTCATTTTAATCATGCTGTATACCAACACACTAAGAACTACCTTGTTAGAAGAGGAAATGGTACAGTATTTTCCTTCCCTTGCTTTGCCATCTCTTTCAAACAAAATTCCTCACCTGTGACACTGATGTTAAATTACTGCTATATACCTCTGTAACTGATTTTTTCCTAGTGTCCTTATTGTGCCAAAACCAGGATAATATAAAAATTGCAAGATGTTGAATCTGAGAAAAAGCAAATGAGAATTAAATCAAGATTGTATAGCACTGTTTGCATACAGTGATAGAAATTTAAAGGCCATTTATTATAGATCTACAATAAAATCATTAAGAATATACAGAGTGTCTGGTTTATGGTATTGAGCATATATTTCTTGCAGTAGAAAACTGATATGAATTACTGGATAAATTCATCATTGACAAAATCACATGCAAATCTCACTAGAGTTTATGGTAGGTGCCTTCTTGTATTTCAGGTTTAGATCAGGTCTGAAGGGTCTAAATAACAAGAACACTGACCCCAAAATTAATCCAACAGAGAGAAAGTTACACATATTACATCTCAACCCTGAGGAGCTACTTTAATGGCTACAGAAGACAACTGAAATCTTCCACTTATACCCTTAGTTATTTGCTCAGGTTATAAGAGAATGCACATTGCCAAAGAGATACAACAGAAAATTGTATTTTTACTTCCCAAGATTTTGATCTTTGCATAGATCCTTGAAAATAAATACAGAATGTTTTTATTGGATAGTATTTGCCATCTGAAAGAATGATTGTGTCTGGTTTTCAAGAAACATAACTATTCTATGGCATCAGCCTATGTCGTCTTCAGATAGAGAGAGAACATTCTTTCACTGAGATAAGGGTAGTAATTCCAAAATACATATCACTGTTGGCCACTTATATATGGCAGCATAACTAAGCTAATTATACAATGTCGTTAAGCTAAAAGGACTTTCTCTTCAGTTTTTGTCCTGTTCTTTGCAACCTGGGTGTGTAGTTCATTTATTGTTCTATAAACCTCAAAGGCTGCAATTAGGAAGAAATCATGCCATATTGATTTACTGTGTTTCAGCTGAGCCTGGATTATTTTTCTTTCTGCCACTCTGTGAGGATTTTTTTGCTGTCAATCAGTTGAGAGAATCTAGTTGCTGGATTTTTGAACTTTCCCCACCTGTTCTGCTTAAAAGGATGCAGAACCTAGTTTAGGTAGCATAAGTGGTAGCAATGGTGTAAGACAAGAACAGCTGGAGGATTGCTCCCTGATTCTGAGCACACCTGAGCAGTTCTCCATTCTGCTGCTCCGGACTGCCTCCAAACCCTGACTTAGTGCATGTGAAGAGAGCTGACTCACTTACTCCGTGTTGCAATACACAGCAGACGCTTATCTCACCCAGCTCAAGAGGTCATCTTACACACTGGTGCAAACATGGCCAACTAAGTGATAAATCGCATTCTTCAGGCAGTCATCTACATGGACAGTTATTCCTTGCTTACCTTAAGATGCCTCAGCTCTGCTGGGTTCCCACCAATCTATAATTTGCCTCACTACAGAAAATAGGCCTCTGGTATAAAAGCATAGAAGTATAAACCTTTGTTATTTCTCAAAAATGCTTTTAAAATTACTGTGGTTTTAGGGAATTTCTTATTGCTAGTTTGACTGTAAAATATATATGGAGCAATGACTGTAGAGCTGTCCATCTGAATCAGCCTCACATTGTATTGGTGGTGAAGCTTACTTGACATTACTACTTCAGTAAGGTACACAAAAAGATACTTTCTAAACAGCTGCACTGAGAATCGCATCTAACTTGCTGCTACAGTTAGGATACCACACATCACAAAAAACCCTATGGAATTTCTTGAAATGAAATACATCTTCATAATACATAAGTGTGTGTATCTGTTTTTATATATTGCAAAATATACCGTCATTAAGATCTCTTCTCAAGCTCCCCTTTATAATTTGAACTATCATAAAAAATTGCAGCCTGGAACACATCAATTCTGATACATTAAAACCAACATTTTCTTGGCATAAATAGATCTAGTCTCAATATATGCTGTTCTTGATCAATTTACAAGACAGAAAACAGTGACTCTTTGCTAACTCCAAAATATTTTAAATAAGGAAACACATAAGATTATTGGAGACTTTTTTTTCTGTTCTGAGAGGTTTGATACTATGTCTGCTTCATCTTCTATGACAAATAGCTTTAATTTTCTAGTAATCACATCATATCTTATTGCTGAGTTGACAGAGCGGCTATAATATCATAGAAGACTTACACGGCCAGTTTAAAGCATGTAATTTATCTCTATCAATGTGACACATTGTTAATAAATCTTAAATATTATGAATTCATGTTTAGAAAAATGACAGAATCAAGCAGCAACAAGGATAATCTTTGTCACCACGGCAACCATCCTGATTCTTTATGAGATGACAGCATAGTTTATTAAATTATTGTAAGGGCGTATGTATTTTAGAAGCTGTATTTCATTGTTTGGTTTCTTCAGTTATCAAGCAGACATGAAAAATTATTTTTCCCCTTGCATTTCTTGAGTTTTGAATAGATAAGTACTTTATTTCCTTAAATATGGATACTGCTTGACACCAACATCTCTAGACCTCGGGTCTTGTGAGATATACAGAACATGCAGGGTGATTATTGTAAATAACTCGAAGAAGGGAAGCTAGTAGTCTCCTCAATGACCATTTCAAGATGTTAAAAGGAGATATACTTGACTGTATTGTTAGCAGGCTGACGTATCTATGTTCTGTTGACCCAAAGCAGGCCCTCACAATCAAATGAGGATCAGTATCCCAGGCAGCTTTACTGACAATCCCTGCTGAAATGTGCAGTTTCGGCACTAGCTTTCCCCACATCTCACCCAGCTAATTTTTTTAACAGCAGTTCACAGTGTCAGAGCCAGGCAGTGGCTGCATGCTACAAAGCCCTAGCTCTGGGAAGATCAGGGTGGGAGAAAGAGAAAAAAATTGCAGTGCCCTGGATCCATGTAAGCTGGTGGTGCAGCATGGTTGCAGATTTACATCAGCGTGAACTGAGGCACAGCCCCTCGTGGTAGAGCATGAGGAGATTCCCCCTGTTCCTGAAACAGAGTTCCCTTCTTCACCTGTGCTTCTTTTCTGATTTTGATTTTTTGTCATCTTTTTTAACATTGTAATAAATATAGCATTATTCTTTGCTATTTTACTTTAGTGTATTATGATAGCACCTATGGGCCTCAGCCCACATGAATTTCTTTAGGTATCACTTGGAGTTAGAACACAGTATAATATCTCATCTCTGTAACACAGGAGTTCAAACTTTAAAAGGGCTACATTTTTTCTTTTAGTGGGAAAGCACAGCCCTGCATCTTGCTTCATTAGAGGATGAAGTGGTGGGTAGCAATCTGGCATTGCTAAAACAGCTTCCTAGACCTCATCCTCTGCTGCATTTCCATCTTATGGATAAAATATATCTTAAAAAAACAAAAACCAAATAAAAAATGTCCCTGATATGACAGGCATGTGAGAAAAAAAGGGATTATTGTCACCATATGAAACACAAGAATGCTTTACTGAAGGTAACCCAGCAAGTCAGCAAAAGAACTGGGAATTTAGCTTTGATCCTTGAAATTCAACATTATCTCCTCATGCTTAAAGCCATCCTGTTTCTGACTTAAATACTGTAGCGAGGATGCAGTGTAGGTTTAATCTATCAGCTGTTTTAAAGGTATAATTGAACCAATAGAATTTCATTTAAAATTATAGTACATTGTTCTTTCTAAACATACTTTACCAGCTGGTTGTCTTTTTTGTAATGTCTTACAGGTAGCACAGCGATACACACCTTCAGTGCTTTGACATTCTTTTTTTTGTAAATATGTAAGTGAGAAGGAAAATGAGTCCTATTCAGAGTCCTGGTGAACCAGAGGTTAATAATTTTCAATTGAGCAGGCAAAACCCTTACAGCTATTGCCAGCAATTTAACTAGGCTATATCCTTGCTAGTTTGTCAAGACTAATTGGTAGCAGGCAGCTGATTATCTTAAAGAGCTGGTGGAAATAGATACTGAGGGCAAGGCAGGTGAGTGGTGTTAAGAGCTTTAGAAGATGAGAGGGATGTCATTTCTAATGTCTTTCTAGATGCTGTCTGTATGAAGAATTGTAGTCCTCTCTTGCTCCTGGTATCCCCAGGAGAAATTTGCAGTTGTGCAGCTGATGTCTATTTTTAATCTAGATAGTACCAGCTGGTGAGGGTGACAGTTATCCTTGTGGGGCTAGGAGAAGAATAAAGGAATTTGTGCATTAGAGCAACTTCTAGCTAGCTACTAATACATCATGTAGCTGTACTCTAGAGGAAAAACCCCAACAGGAAAAAAAACCACGGGAAAAAAAAAAAAAAAAAGAAGATTAGGA